TTAATATGAACCCTTCCTACTGCCGATATTATGGAACCAGTTTTCATATTAAATACCGGGGTTGTATCTATGATTTCAAACAAGTGTTAATTTTGTTCGGACGCTATTTTGTTGTGGCATCTTTATGCAGTTACTATTTTTATTATGTGTTAATTGTCATTGGCTTGCCATTATATAGCGGAGAGAATTGTCAATGCTAAAAGGAAAATCTTCACCAGGAACGTCACATCGGAAAACTTGGTACAAGCCATCTATGATTAATGCGATTATTGCCGTACGTGAGAAATTATATAAAATATACTAAAAACGCTGTCAAACGTTTTAATGTGCCAAGAACAACGCTGCAACGTTTTGTCTATTAAACAGAATATTCTGCAGAGGAAGTAGTTGAAATGAAGTTAGGAAGGAGGCCTGTTTTGAAGAGCAGTTAGTTGAATATTTACTTTTAATGGAGAGTAAATACTACATTGATTCATAGAGACGTAACATTGATGGCTTTTGAATTAGCATGCAGAGTAATCTTAAATATCCATTCGGAGCTAAAAAAGCCGGTCATGCAAGGCTAGACCAGTTTTTCCGTCGTCACCAGGACAAGCTCTTTATTCGCTAACTTACAGGTACGTCTATTTCAAGAGGTAATGGTTTTAACAGAGAATTCGTTAACATGCTTTTAGATCTTCTAGAGAGTGAATATTAGAAGCATACATTTACGGCCGATACAGTTTTTTTATATTTTTCCACAAAAATGTCCGATAATTTTATGAGGAATGCACCACTTGGTTAGTAGGAAAATGCCAACCCTTGGGTTGGGTGTTAAGCAATTTATTTCATGAATGGTTTCTACACCTTATTGAACCTATTAATCCATCTACAGAATCCTCAGTGTTGTTGTTACAGTATTGTGCGAATTAATGGAATCATAGGCTGTTTTAATGAAAAAACAGTTTATTTAGTAAAAAATTATATTTTGACAAAACTATAAAGGTAAACTTACATCATTCAGTAGGAAATATGTCCCCCTTTGGCAGCAATTACTGCTTTTACCCGTTTTGGCATAGATTCTATGAGTTTCTGGCAGTTGTCAGATATCCTTTCATCTCGATACCAAACCTGAATGGCCGCTTCTATCATTTTTGTTTTAGTGGTACAGTCGATTTTTCGCAGTCTAGCTTTGCAAATGGCCCATAAATTTTCAATGGGGTTGAGGTCGGGCGAATTACCGGGCCAATCTAAAACATTAATCTTCTTATTTTTGAAAAATGCCATCATTTCCTTTGATTTGTGACAGGGAGCAGAGTCCTGTTGAAGAATCGCTCCTCCTTGGGGTTGACATTTTTGGAGTTGTTTGTCCAAATACTTTTCCAACATGGATTTGTATTTTTGGCTGTTCATCATGCCTTCAATTGGCACCAAAGATCCAACCCCCATGTATGAAAAACATCCCCAAAACATTTTCTTGACTGGATGTTTTACGGTTTGATCAATATGAGATGGTGTAAGCTTTTCATTGTCAGACTTCCTGACGAATTTCGACCGCTGTCCCTGAACTATAAAGTGGGTTTCATCTGTAAATAGGACTTTTTTCCAGTCGCCTACAGTCCAATTAGAGTATTTTTTGGCCCACAGTAGCCTTTGTTTCTTCATTCGTTCAGTTAGAAGCTGTTTTTTCTGTGGACGAATTGCCCTTCTACCATTCTCCAAAAGTCTTCTACGAACAGTTGAGTCATGAATCACTATAGCTGATGCTGCTAGATCTTGTTGTAGGTCTTGGCTTGATTTTCTTGGGTCCAATTTGCTCTTTCGAAGTAAAAATCTATCATCTGCTGGTGTTGTTTTTCTCTTTCTTCCACATTTTCCTAACCTTTTCACATCCACTGATCCCGTTTCTCGTTTACGCTTCAAAATTTTGCTTACTACCCCCTGACTCACTCCACACGTTCTAGCAATCTCTCTTTGTGACATACTAGTGTGTTCACTCAACGTGACAATCTTTTCACGCTTCCTAGGCGTAATATCCATGTTGGAATAAAACCAAAAACAACACAAAATAGTACAAAAACCCCCAAAACAACACAAGCTTGGTAAGAAATGACCTAAAACACACTCAAACACACCAACACACAGTAAGGTTATGTTTTCAATGCTTGGTCAGCTGTCAACTGTGTAGGTAGTGTTGCCAACTGTGAATATTGAAAAAATGAAAAAAAAATTCATAGTGACTCCATTAATTAGCACAATACTGTACTTGATTGACACGGTTCACATACATGAAACACCGAAATTATAAAACTAGTCCGGCAAAATCATGTCATTATAGTATACCACCACATACAACTCACAAGCTGTTTGTCTTTGGATGCGTCATAATGAGCGACGGCCAGGACCCTACGATATCGCACAGCTATTCAATCAGGCATATAATATTTCAGTGTCAAACTGGATCTATATCCATCAATAGTTTTTCTAAGATCGGAATAGTTCTTTGTAATCGGAGAATTTACTTATTCCCCGATTACATTAACTGCTTCCGATGGAGACGAGAGTTTACCGGATATTTGTAATTCCTTCCGTTTCAACGTGTGCAACGCCAGAAGTAATTTTGCTTGTTGATATTACTCCGGTTCCTAAACAAACAAAGTGTCCAATAGAGGTCGCAAAGCTTCTTCCACGGCTGCTAGAGATAGTGCAAGCACTCCTGACCACGGCGCAGTAGACGAAATTTGGTTTAGTCCCCACTTACATGCGCAACGCACTGTACTATGCACTGTATAATTCCACTTACAATATAACCTTTCTGCCTTTACGTTCGACCTTTATACTACTGCCAAAAAAGGCAAATACAAAGGAATGCAACGAATATCGTACGATAGCTTTGATGAGTCATGCTCTAAAACTGTTCTTAAAAATAATCCATAATAGGATCTATAGGAAATTAGACGTAGATATAAGTAACACTCAGATGGGATTCAGAAAAGGGCTGGGTACAAGGGAGGCTCTGTTTGCAATGAACGTTCTCTCACAGAGATGCTTAGACATGAACCAAGAAATTTACGCCTGCTTTATTGATTTCGAAAAGGCCTTTGACAAAGTACAACATGAACCACTAATCTAATAAAGAAAAATATAGACAGCCGAGATATTCGAATTATATGCAATCTATATTGGAATCAAACAGCAAATGTCAAGGTTGAGGGCAGACTAACAGAAGAAATTCAAATCCGTCGAGGAGTCCGGCAGGGATGTATCTTATCGCCACTTTTATTTAATCTGTATAGTGAAGCTATCTGTGAACAAGCACTCGAGGAAGAAGATCTTGGTCTGATAATAAATGGTGAGACGATCAACAATATAAGGTATGCTGACGATACAGTTCTCCTAACGGGAACGCTAGTAGAACTACAACATCTCGTTCAAAGTCTCAATATATACTGTAACAGTTACGGCTTGAAAATTAATTTGAAAAAAACTAAATTTATGGTAATCACGAAATCAAAGAACATCAGAGCTAATCTTGTAATAGACAATACAACGATTGAGCGTGTGCCCTGTTATAAATATCTAGGTGCTTGGATCACAGACGATACTGATCAAACAAAAGAGATTAGATGTAGAATAGAAATCGCTAGATTAGTCTTTAATAGAATGCGCAGACTCTTTTGCAATCGTGATATCAATATAAAGTTACGAATACGAATGCTGCGGTGTTATGTCTTTTCTACAGGTGGAGATATGGTGCTATAGGCGCATTCTCAGAATATCATGGATAGACCGCGTCACTAACACGCAAGTACTCCAAACTTTAGACAAAAGATGCGAAATTCTAAATGAGATAAAAACTAGAAAGATGGAATACTTGGGGCACATTGTGAGAGGTGAAAAGTACGAACTTTTAAGAAACATCATGCAGGGCAAAATTAAGGGCAAAAGAAGTGTGGGAAGAAGAAAAATATCGTGGCTTCGTAATCTACGTGAATGGTTAGGGTGTAGTTCGATTGAACTTTTTAGGCGCGCTGCTAACAAAGTCGCAGTGGCCATGATTATTTCAAATCTCTGCTAGGACTGGCACGAGAAGAAGAAGAAGCCTTTACGTGAATTTTGACTTCACCTTCGCGCAGCTCCATGGTCAGGAGTGTTCACGCTATCTTTACCACAAAAATGAATCAGAGGAATTTACGAAAAAAGTAAAAGTTACACAATTAAATTCTCGTCTTGACCAAGAGCAGATTCCTACACCTATCACTTTTTGTGTATAAGTTTGGTTGGCAAAGCCATCTCTTAACAGTTTCTTAATATTGTTCTGAAGCTTTTTTCTTTTAGCATTTTGAAGTAATTACTATTTAAATGGGAATAAGCCACAGTTAAAGGTTAAAGTAAGTTTATTGACGTTTCAATTTCCACTTCCGAAATCGTTCTCAAAATACGTTTATATCTTATAGCTCTTTAGAGATAATTGTGTATTAGTATTAGTTTGTCTTGTAATAAATAAAATATACAGAAACGAGTAGAATAAACACTAATGCCAAGATATAACATGTTTGTTTTTTTTACAATATGATTTTAATTTTAGTTTTGTATAGGCACTTCATTTGTAATTTAATACCTAAACAGAGACTTTATTTCTTTTCCTGAATGATGTAATTCTCCAAGAGTATTTTAATAACTTTTCGGTTTATAACAAACTAATAAAGGTTAGCTTTGTTTTAAAATTTTCATTTTATTTCTTTGTCTGAGCTCGTTTCCTTACGAGGGTAAACTAATAAAGGATGGTATCTAATTCATTTTAATATTAAATATAATATATTTATATATTGTATATGATTTTTGAAAGAACAAAGCCGAAACTCTTCCGACACAAGCAAAAGACCTCGAATATTTGTGTACATAAGTAAATACTTCGCTTACGTTACATGTTTAACAGCAAATTTGGTATATAATATAATATTATATGTCATTGATAATGGTTTCATGATTTTATTCCCACTTCGATTACAAAAATAAATAATGTTGTCTAGAAAAACGAAGATGTTTATTAGAGAAACATGTTAACAAACTAATTAGTTCACTTAAATAATGACAAGTTTTATATTCCTTAAGGCTGAATTTTTCTTTGAGAAACCTGCAAAAAAAAATTTTATTAGAACTGGTGTTTTCATAAATATATTCTTTATTTGATATTAGGAGAGAGAAAAAGCATTACTTATAAATCTATAAACATTAATTATGTATTCAAAACACTTAAAAATAGAGACTACCTACAGTACCATCAAGTCAAGGTACCAATAAATGGAAGTCTCTCTACTTTTACCATTATGATTAAACATAGGCGAGTCAGATGATTGATAAGTACTATGTCTCTAAACAGAAATTACTAACGAAGAAGTTAAAAATGCCTTAAACCAGATGAAAAATGAAAAGCTCCTGGAGGCAACGAAATAACAAAAAAAAAAATGATTACAGCTGGAGCTGAAACTTCTTTGTAGGCATCAAATAGTACAAAACATAGAAGAGTGGAGAACTAATGAGAAAGCGTTTGTCCAGGAGTGGATGCAGAAGATGTCTCTGAATAAAAATAAAAAATGTCTCTGTCACTATCTTTCCCAAAATTTGTGTAACACTCTATAGGGCAGGGTCGGTAATTTCAGAGTCGGCAAGACCAAAAAAAAAAAAAAAAATAGTAACATCATTGTAATGCACAAAAGATCTGTATAGGTCGAAGTGCCGACCTCACACAATCTAAGATCATTGTACCCATTGGAAAAAGAAAATATACTTATATGACAAGAATAAAAGGAAAAATCATTTAAGAGCGATCTGGGGTCGGGAAAGGGAATGGGGTGAGTAAGTAAATTGTAAGTAATAAAGATATACAACATCTGTTTTTACACTTTTTTCATATAACCTCAAAATTTATGCGAAAAATTCAATTATTCGACTTTTTTTTGTTTATTTTTATTTTCCACAAAAAAAATTATCAAATTTGGTGAAAACAATACTTGTATATATATATATGTATATATATATATATATATATATATATATATATATATATATATATATATAAGGTTCTTGAACTCCTAAGTGGAGCATAGAGCTTCAGTGAAAACGCGCCATCGGGTTCTATTTTGCGCTAAGGCCTTCACCTCATTCCAAGACTTTCCTTGTTTTCTTATCTCGTCCATGATGGATCTTCTCCAAGTTTGTACTGGGCGACCTTTTTTTCGTTTTCCTTGGGGATTCCACTCTAGGGCAGTCTTTGCAATACTGGAGTTATTTTTTCGGAGTGTGTGACCGATCCAACCCCACTTTCTGGACTTTATTTCATTTACTACCCTCTTTTGTTTGGTCAGGTGTAGTAAATCTTCGTTTCTGATGATGTTAGGCCAGAAAATACGAACAATTCTTCGTAGACATTTATTAACAAAGACCTGCAGTTTGTCTGTAAGGGTTTTTGTCGCTTTCCAGGTTTCACATCCGTAAAGTAGTACAGACATGACATTTGACTGGAATATGCGGATTTTTGTCCTCGTAGTGTAGTCTCCAGACCTCCAAACAGGGTTGAGCATGCTGAAAGCTTGTTGCGCTTTTCGTATCCTCATACGAATATCGTCTTCTGTACCTCCGCTTTCTGTTATGACACTTCCAAGATACGTACAGTTTTCCACATTTTCAATCTGCATGTTATTAATGGTGAATAGCGTGTTGTTTCTTGCATTTATTCTCATGGATTTGGTTTTACCAATATTGATTTTCAAACCTATTTTATTGGCTTCAGTGGAGAGTGTTTCCAATTGGTCAGCCACATCTTGGAACCTTTGTCCTAACAGGCAGATATCGTCGGCGTATTCTAGATCGCTTAGGCGTGTGGTTAACGTCCATTGTATCCCTCTTGTGTCAGAGTCTAGTTTGGAGAGAACATAGTCTAGAGCTATGTTAAAAAGAAACTGAGAAAGCACGCATCCCTGTCTGACTCCAGTAAGTACGTCAAATTCGTCACTGTTGATCCCATTGTGTGTCACGCTGCATTTCGCTTCAGTGTACAGTAACTTTATGATGGAAATTATTTTATGCGGGATGTTTCTTAGCTCTAAAATTTTCCATATCGCATCATGAGATAAGCTGTCTTGAAAACAATACTTAATAATGGTAAAATATACATTACTATGAAGAATTTTCCAGAATTCGCAAATTTTTTTAGTCAAAATATAATTTGAGATGCTTTTTTTTATAAAAAAATACATACCTTAGTACCTGAATCTTCTTTCCCTGTTCTTTATACTGCTGGACAAGCAGAGTGAAAATACACAACCAATTACCTGAAATATTAACAAAAATGAATACTCAATGACATTATTATAATTACATACAATAAAAAAAATACAAATAATGTTTTATTGAAAAAAAAAAGTTTTGAGCCTTATTTTTTGCTTTAGTGACCACCGACATACGAATAAATAAGTTTATCATCTTGTCTAAACCAGAAAATTGTAATCTAATGATCTCATAAGGTCGAAATGTAGGTACATAATACAATGTGATTTATTTTCAAACCATATTGTTTTGCTGTCTCGAATCGCTAGAATTTGTTTCGAGTAGAATATGATATGATGCTTTAAAATCTACAAATAACACGTTAGTTATTTTTCTATTTTTTCTAAACCCTCCTTGACAATCTACCAATATTTTATCTGAAAAATGTGTCAAATTTTCTTTTTAATAATTTATTTTAAAATTTTTTGTCTTATTTCTAATATTTCATTTTGGTTCCTTCTTTCAGTCACTCTCAAAATCTACTTTTCATCTATCAATTGCATCATCCTTCTTCTTCTTATGATGCCCTATCCAATTAGTGGATATTGGCGACAATTGTGGCATACTCCTCTCGATCTTGTGTGGCTCTAAAGAGAGCATGAGCATCGAGGTTTGTCCAATCTCTTATGTTTTTAAGTCATGAGTATTTCTTTCTTCCGATGTCCCGTTTTCCTTCTATCTTCCCTTCCATAATAAGCTAAGAACTGGTACTTGGAATTTTGAAATATATGACCCAGATAAGCAGTTTTTATTCTTTTTATTATTGGCAGCAATTCTCGTTCTCTGCCTATTCGATTTAATACTTCGACATTTGTTGTGTGGTCTGTCCAGGGAATTTTAAGTAGTCTTCTAAATACCCATATTTCAAAGGCCTCCAATCGGTTCATCAAATTGGCCTTTATGGTCCAGGTTTCTACACCATATAGCAGTATGGAGTAGCGTTAAGTTAAAGCTGTTGTTGCTTAGCAAGGTTCTTATATTAGTAAATGCTGTTCTGGCTTGCTCAATCCTGCTACGTATCTCTATGTCTGGATCTAGGTCTTCAGTTATACAACTACCGAGATATCTGAACTTGGAGACCTTTTGGATGTTCTTATTGTTTACTTTTATATTTAATTGTATATTTCGTGTTATTAACCACCATTACCTTCGTCCATATTGTTATTATGTGTTTATTCTATCTATTAGTCGTTGTAGCGCTTCTTGGTTATCGGCTATTATGACTGTATCATCAGCATAGCGAAGATTACTAATAGTCTGTCCGTTGATTTTGATTCCATCTTCAGTGTCACTTAAGATTCTATCGAAAATCATTTCAGAGTAAAGGAGGGGTGACAGAACACTACCCTGCCGTACACCTTTTTCGATTGAGAAATATGATGTAGATTCGAGTCCTACTCTCACAGATACCATTGATTCATATAAAGGTTCTTTATGATTTTAAGGTCATTCTATCTATCGAACGTTTCTGGAGCAATCTTACTAATTCTGAATTATTAACACAATTGCCGCTTTATGGTAATCTATTAAGCATAGGAAGACATCTTTTTGCCGATCTCTGCATTTCTGCCAAATCCTTGTCTGAAACCGAACTGTGTGGGGCTAATGTCTCTTTCACATCTGTTGTATATTCTTGTGTGAATTATCTTTAAGAAGAGTGTTTAGGACCTGGCTCAATAAGCTGATCATTCGGAATTGGTCGCAACTATTAGCGTTTCGCTTTTTGTGATTGATATAAAGGTTGATTGAAGCCAATCCTGTGGTATTTGACCGGACCTATAAATGTCAGTAAAAAGATCTACCAAGGCGTCTATATTGTCTTTACTCAACATTGTTAGAACCTCTATGTATGTCATCTGAGCCTGGTACTTTTCCTCACTTGTAATTACAACTTCTGACTTTTTTGTTTTGGGGGAGGGCATCATCCTAATGAATTAATTTATCTCTAAAGTTAAGCCATATCTTCATGTTTATCGTTTGAGCTTTTCTGTCATTTAATTTGGCTCTCAATTTGTCAATGAGTTTCATTAGTACCCCACGTTGGGCGCCAATAAACGTAATAACTCCACGTAAAGGACAAAGAAGAAATAAATTCAGAAATCCGAATAAAATAAGAAATAATGTTAAACAATTAGACGAAACGCAATTTGCATAACGAAAGTAAATGTTTACTTTATTCCAATATTTTTCAGAATTATGTAGAATATTATATCCAGAAAAACTGAGCCTGATGTTATAATAGGCTGCGGTGGCTTAACAAAGTCTTATCTTAAGAGGAAAGATGCTCTTACCATTTCTATTCCTATTCTTATTTCTAGATTTGGTTCTAGGTTGTCTGTTATCCAGAAGCCTTAGTATTTTAATCTTGTTAATTAGTTTTTTTAACTAAGAAGAGAAAGGCCTAAACATTAACGATAGAAGATGAACAAATTTGAAATTCGGAGACGACATAGTTCTGTTCTCGGGCAACCTCAATGAGATATGTACAATGCTACATGAACTTCAGTTAGTGTATGCCAGTTTGTGTCTTAAAACAAACAGCTCCAAATAGATTAGAGTTTACTGGTTTATCATTTATTTTTATACCTTTTTGCATATTCTTGTGCCCAATTAACAATAAACTGAAAGAACGCGGGAGTAATTTTATCCACGCAAAAAATAACTTAATATTAAAAATTTAATTTACCTCGAGGGCCGAAAGTGCCAAAAGCGTTATACCAATAACGTTCATGGCTTTATTAAGAAAGTCGTAAAAAACTGTCTTGCATCCGCTCTTATATGGTGTTTTATCTGAATCCAAACATGATTTTGGTATAGAACTTCCCCAGAATGATGGACCATCAGGACCACAGCATTCAAACTGAAACACAATATGAACAATGTATAAATACGTTAATATACTAGTAAAAATAATATAAAATGTTACAATACAACACTGAAAACTTTGTTTTCAAACTTCCACAAAATTTATTTTAAACTCTTATCACTACAGCTGTTTCGGCTGATTGCCTTTCTCAAGTGATCTATTTTTGGCATGCGTTTAAACTTTATAGTCTCTAATGAAATAGGTAGAGGAGGGGAGAACTGTTTGTCTCAAGTTGATCATTCAGAATTATATCTGTGTTTTTTAATTTGTTGATTTCCACAGATTCTGTTTCCTTAATTACTATTAAACTGGGAATAAGCCACAATTAAAGATAAAAATACGTTTATTGACGTTTCAATTTCCACTTCGGCAATCGTTCTCAAAATACAAACAGTAAATTAAACAAATTTTGTTTTTTGTTACATAGTGAAAAATTCTTCTAATAATTTAATTTTATCTGACTCATTTATATTGATAGAAAAATGACGACTCCATAATCATCCTACCAGCAGACAAGGGGAATGCAACTGTGATAATGGATAAAATTCAATACGAAAATAAAATTAAAGATCTATTAATAAACGGACCTTATACAAAATTAACAAAAGATCCAACAAAGTCTTTGGAAAACAAAATATATAGAACTTTATTCAAGTTTAAAGATGTTTTAACAAGTTATCAGAGAGGATTAATTACACCTCATTACAGTAAGACTCCTGATTTTTATGGAGTACCGAAAATTCATAAAACGAATATACCACTTAGACCCATTTGTAGTACCATGAATTCTCCTTGTAGTGAACTATCAAAATTTTTATTAAATATTTTAAAGCCATTTACAAATAAAAATGACACATTCATAAAAAATACACAACATTTTTTAACTAAATTATCAAATATTGAATTTAATTCAAATCATACTTTGGTAAGTTTTGACATAAATAGTTTATTTACGAATGTGCCATTAAATAGGACTTTAAGTATAGTCAAGACAAAATTAGAGAGTGATGATTCATTGGCAACTAGAACAAGACTAAACATATCGGCTATAATGGAGTTATTAACATTATGTACTGATAATACATATTTTCAACTAAATAATAAATTCTATAAATAAAATTTTGGTCTAGCAATGGGCTCTAGTTTATCTCCATTCTTAGCCGATATATTTATGGAAGATTTTGAAACAAATATCATTTCTAAACAAAATTTCAAACCCACAGTATAGTGGAGGTATGTAGATGATGTATTCTCAATATGGCCTCATGGATCAGAGTTGTTGGGCACATTCCTAAATCATACCTCATTCCTCCAGAACGATACTGGATATGAGGCTCAGGTGTATAGAAAACCAACACACACCAATAGATATTTAAATTTCAAATCAAATCACAATATTAATGTAAAAAAGGGAATAATTAAATCCTTATACGATAGAGCCAAAATTACTTGTTCTAACGAAAATTCGTTCTTGGAGGGTAAACATGTGTTAACATCTGTTTTATTAAAAAATGATTATCCTTTATCGTTAATAAATAAGGAATTTTCAACAATCGATCGAATAGAACAGAACAACTTAGAACGAGATCCTACAGCGTACACAAGGAATAATATGAGGAAAATAACAATACCGTACATAAAAGGACTATCAGAAAAACTTAAAAGGATAGGAAATAAATTCAACATTTCAACAACATTCAAAACAACAAACACGTTGAGATCTATTTTGTCCAAAACCAAACCTAACAATGAACAAGAAAGGACAAAGAATTGCATTTATAAAATACCTTGTGAATGCGATCAGTTTTATTTAGGTGAATCATCAAGGCCATTAAATGTTAGAATAAGTGAACATCAATCTTATATTAAAAATAGAGAATTTGATCGATCTCAAATCTGTAAACACGCATGGGATAATGAACATAGGGTTCAATGGAATAATTCAAATATAGTCCTAAAAGAAACGGATGGTAAAAAAAGAAAAATCAAAGAAGCGGCTCTAATTATGCTAAATGAGGCCAATTGTGTCGCAAATTCCTCGGCAGAATGTAGTAGGATCTGGTTACCAATATTGAAAGAGGAAGTTATTAATAAGAAAATACCAGTATTAGTAAGTCAGTAACATATAGAGGATACATCATTTATGTTTTTTAAATAACGTAACATATAAAATCAGAATTTTGATGTTTGTTGAAGGTAAACTAAATTCACGAACAAATACTTACAATGTCGGGATAGTATTATGAGGTTTTTTTCCTGGTTTTTCCCTCATAATTTACTATGGAATCACTAACAGGAGAATTTTACTGTCATCATGTCATGTGTTTGTCTTTTTAAAGACGAATTACATGCTATGATTTTTTTCTGACGGATATTCTCAAGTTAAAGTTGATTTCATGTAATCGAATGAACTATCTTATAAGTAAAGTCGTCCCAGGAGCGCAACTCAACAATATTGGCAATATCATTTTAAAGTCGTCTACTTTAAAATGCATAATGTATGTCTGAATTGTCAATATAAATGAGTCAGATAAAATTAAATTATTAGAAGAATTTTTCACTATGTAACAAAAAACAAAATTTGTTTAATTTACTGTTTGTATTTTGAGAACGATTACCGAAGTGGAAATTGAAACGTCAATAAACGTATTTTTATCTTTAATTGTGGCTTATTCCCAGTTTAATAGTAATTAATTTACAATGCCACAAGAAAATAGCTTCAGATTCTGTTTCCTGTCTCCTACTTTGTTTAATTTGTATTCAGAGGTTATAATCCAGGAAGAACTAGAAGAACTAACTATGGGAATAAAAGTAAATGGCCGACCAATCAATAATATACGGTTTGCCGACGACACTATTTTATTAGCTGAATGTCTTGAGGATTTACAACTCTCTTCCAACTCTTTTCCATAGTCCGATATTCTGGTCACCAGTCTCTAAAGATCTTCAATATTTTTGGCTAAGATCACAGTGTCGTCCGTATGTCTAATGTTGTTAATGGGAACTCCATTTACCTTTATTCCTGCTGTTTCACCCTCAAGAGCTTTTTCCGCGATCTCTTCGGAGTAGACTTTAAAAAGAATTGATAACAATACGCATATCTGTCTCACTCCACATCTAATTTCAATTTCTTCTGACATCTGTTCGTTGACACATATTTTGTTGGCTGTTTATAGTATAAATTTGATATCCTCAGGTCGTTGTATTCAATCTTCTTTGATTTTAGGACATTCATTAATTGTTTATGTCGTACTTTATCTAATGCTTGAAAGTGAAAACAGTGCTTCACGACTTCCTAGGCCTTTGCGACAACCAAATGGTGTATCATTAACGTCTATGTACAGTTTGTGATATATTTGGTTTGGATGACTTTAAGTAGTAACTTTAGCACATGAGACATCAAGCTAATAGTGCGGTAATCGCTGCATTCTCCTAAGATAGACATTCTCTAGATATCAGAACAGAATAACGAATAAAGGGGAAGAAGAAAAATAAATAGAAAAGAGACTATTAAAAAGAAGTAGAGCAATGGGCTCATTAAATAATATTCTAAAAGCAAAAAAGTATGTAGGGCAGCAAACATTGGAATATATGAAACAGTCGTTCGGCCAGAGGCAGCGTATGCCTGTGAGACCTGGACTATGAATAAGAGAGATGAAATGAAAATCGCGATCTGGAAAAGAAAGGTGTTGGGAAGATTTTTGGTGGTATTAGGACGGCGGAGGGAGAATGGCGAAAAGGAACAAATAAAGAAGTAATGGAGATGTATGGAAAACACCCAATTGTACATAAAGTCAAAACACAGAGAGTCAGGTGGTTAGGTCGCATCACTCGAATGCCAGAGAAACACTGTGTAAAAAAGGTAATTTTTGGTGGAGGAGGGAGTAAAATAAAGAGAGAAGGACCACGAAAAAAGTGGTTAGAAGCAGTTAAAGGTGATTTAAATGGTATAGGAGTATATTTAAACCAAACATCCTGTGTCCTGTGGACCTATTTAAAAAATAAAATATGCTGGTAAAACAGTGACGTCACTTTCATCGCTTTTTGGGAATACTGTATCTCTAAAGAATTTAAACAATTGGTGAAAATAACAGAAACTCAGAAATCTTCAGAAAAGACGCAGGAAGAAAAAAACCTATAGAATATAATAATTATTACTTACTTCTGTTTGAATTAGATCTGTTAATTCGTGTTTATTCTTTTCCTTGGACTCAGCAAATAATTTATCCATTTGATTGTTCACTTTGGTTTGGAAATTTTCTTTGTCCTTTATCTCTATAAAAGCAAATACTCCAACGGCGATTTGAAGTAAAAATATTACCAACAAGATAACTCCGTACTAAAAAAAAGTATGTGTTAAAATATAATCGATAAAATTATTACCAAAATAATATAAGTGGAACCAAATTCGTCTGTGTGGAACCTAATGTGTGATTGTTACTGGTCCCAAGCTGCACTAAAAGAGGGAATTGCTGATACACATTAAGAAAACGTATTTAATCATAAATCAACCTTTAACACATAACATTTAAATATTTATAAAAAACTATATATAACTATATATAACGAAGCAATAATAATTATGGGTGACTTTAACGCTAAAGTTGGACAGAAGATGACGCAGGGCATCACCGGAAAGTTTGGCTTGGGAGACAGAAATCAAAGAGGTGAACGGCTAATAGAATTCTGCCAAGAAAATGACTTCGCCATTACAAATACCTGGTTTCAACTTCCAGAAAGGCGTCTTTACACGTGGAAATCCCCTCAAGATGGACATCAAGGCAGAATAGTACGGAATCAAATAGACTACATCCTAATAAACCACCGATTTCGAAACAATATTAAAGATGTAAAAACTTACCCCGGCGCTGACATAAACTCAAATCACAATTTACTCTGCTCCAAAATACAAATTAAATTGAAGAAATTAACAAAGCCAACTAAGCCTTGTAAGATATATCTCGACCCCCTGAAAAACCCTCAAACGCGCGAACACATAACACAGCAAATAAATAGTAAAATACACAGAATATCAAATATACCAAACGAAAACAGAACCATTAACGAATGCTGGTATGAAATTCAAAACTCGATTTTAGAGAACGTACAAGAGTCTTTGAAAACACCTACCATGTAGGCAAAAAATGAGTGGATGACACAAGAAATTCTAGATCTGATGGAAGTTCGACGGCAACACAAAAATAGAAATATTATCGAATATCGTGAAATTAATAAACGCATAAAAAGAAAAATTAAGCAAGCCAAAGAATCCTGGCTTGAGAATTTATGTAAAGAAATAGAAGACCTCCAAAAAAAGCATGACAGCTTCAACCTGCATAAGAAACTTAAATATACTGCCGGAATTAGAAAACAGAAAAATGCTCACATACTTAAAAGCGCGGACGGAAAAATTTGTGATCACGAACAACAGTGCAAAGAATGGGAGAGATACATCACTGACCTTTTTGACGATGCTTCTAGGGAAAATGCTCCAAATACTGCCTATGACAACCAGTTGGACAGAGGTCCCAATATACTGAATTCGGAAGTCGAAAAGGCAATACAGCAAGCCAAAAACAATAAAGCACCTGGACCAGATCAAATCCCTGCCGAACTACTTAAACTTTTGGATGAGGAAAGCATTGCCTGCTTAACCACTTTCTTCAACAAAATTTACAACGAAGGAAAAATACCAGATGATTGGTTAGAGTCACTGTTTATAACATTACCAAAGAAAAGCAGGCCCACCAAATGCAGCGATTTTAGACTAATCAGTTTGATGAGTCACACACTGAAGATACTCTTACGAATTATACAAAACCGAGTATTCCTTCTATGCGAAAGTAAGATGGGTGATAAGCAATTTGGATTTAGAAACGGTCTAGGAACTAGAGAGGCACTATTCTGTATGCGCGTTCTATTACAAAAAAGTTGTGAATTCCGAAAGAATGTTTATGTTTGTTTCATTGACTTCGAGAAGGCGTTCGACAGAGTCCAACACAATACACTTTTCGACTGCCTACGGGCAGCAGGACTTGACCACTATGATATAAGACTGCTGAAATACTTATATTACAATCAAGTAGCCTCTATCCAAATTGGAGACAGTCCCACTGAAAAAATACCCATCAAACGTGGAGTACGGCAGGGTTGTGTTTTGTCACCCACTCTTTTTAATCTGTACTCTGAAGAAATCTTTAGGGAGGCTTTGGATGACAGACAAGAGGGAGTAAGACTAGGTGGAGAAGTAATCAACAATATTAGATACGCTGACGATACAGCCATTCTTGCAGAAAGTTTACAAGATCTCCAAACATTACTAAATCTAGTCAGTGAAGCAAGTTATCGGAGAGGCCTAAAAATCAACATTTCAAAGACAAAGTGGATGGCAGTTGGAAAGATCCATATAGATCAAGGTCTGCTTTCTCTTAATGGAGAAGAGATAGAAAGGGTAAATCATTTCAAATACCTTGGCAGCTGGTTAAATGTAAATTGTGACTCTGATGAAGAGATAATATCCAGGATCGAAATATCACGTAAGGCTTTTATGACCTGGAAACCAGTTTTATGCAACAGAAACCTGTCAATGAACATTCGTAAGAAGGTCCTGAAATGTTATGTGTGGTCGATCCTATTGTATGGTTGTGAGACATGGACGTTAAAAACCACAATGCTAAACAAGTTAGAAGCATTCGAAATGTGGTGCTATAGACGAATCCTAAAGATATCGTGGGTTTCGCACACTTCCAATGAAGATGTTCTTCAAATGATCAACTCAGAACGTCTGCTCATAAACATCATAAAGAGGAGAAAAACAGAATACTTCGGCCATATAATTAGAGGACCCAAATACCATTTACTTCGCCTTATAATACAAGGAAAAGTGGAAGGAAAGAGATGGATTGGTCGAAAGAAACTTTCATGGCTGCGTAATATTAGACAATGGTGTGGTTTCACAGTAGAAGAATTATTTCGCGCAGCAGCCGACAGAGAAAGGTTTCAGGAAATTGTAAGCATGATGACGGCCAACGTCTGAATACGGACACGGCACCTAAAGAAGATATATAACTAAGTATATATATATATATACATATATATATATATATATATATATATATTTATATATATATATATATATATAATATATGTATATATATATATATATATATATATATTATATATATATATATATATATATGTATCCATACCATATGTAATATGTAAAGGGTTCAACAGAGTAGGAAGAGTGCTAAGAAAACAAAATAGAAACGATATTATACCGACAGAAAAATTTTCAACCATTTTACCATCCGCCAAAACAAAAATATCGTTAGAAAATCAAGGAGTATACGAGATTCCATGTGGGGACTCTGACAAATCGTACATTGGACAGACCAACCGAAGAATCAATGTTAGACGAGAAGAACATCGAAATGCAATCGAAAGAAGGGAAAAACGTCGTCCCTTGCCCAACATGGGTTAAACACAAGACATACAATAAAGCTGAACCAAACTACGATGCTAGCTAACATTGAAATTAAAAGAAAACGGGAAATCAGATAAACAATAGAAACATAAAAAAAACCCAACAGTCCCCAACAACAAGGAAAACGGTATTAAAAAAAAAGTCAAAAATACATCAGACCACAAGACCGGCTAGTAGGACTCTGCCTACCTACACACGGACAGGACCAATCACAAAAAGCCTTGCAGCTATAAAAAGTAAATGCATCGACCAGGAGAGTCAGTTAACTTCAAGCACCAGAAAATACCGCTACTACCTGATTTGACAATGGCAAGTGCGACTTTGCCGAAACGTCGTGAAAATAATGGTTTTTATCAAAACCAAAATAATTCAACGATATATATAATCAGTATATCTTAGGTTTGGGCAATAGTTACTAGTAAATTGTGAACCAGATTTTATTATTCCATTAAAATCAACGTTTCGGCAGGTCATCCTTGCCTTTGTCAAGATTCTAATATGTACAAGAATTGAGAACAAGATGTAATTGTAAGACATATAATAATTTCTCAACACGAAAAGGGAGACACTAACATTAATGACCGAACACAGAGTAAACACTGACATCTGATCTCTCATTGCTTACTGTCATTAATATATAATTATGTTTACATGGGCGTATCTTTGGTGTTGTAGTCGAAAGCTTCTACAGCTGGCGACGTTTCTCGCATCTTAATTTCTAGCGTTTTTTGTTAAAGCAATATTTTTTAAATCTCTGGTAGTCATCGCCTCTTCAACATTTTCTCTCCAGGACTATCTATGTTCAAAGAAAACTGATAATGCATGAATTCCTCTTGTTCTTTTTCTTCTTGTAGTTCCTATTCGTTTCGGATAATGGCGATCATCATGGCAATCTGTATTTTGCAAACTGCTGCTCTATAAAGATTTGTGGTTGTTGTGTGGAATAACGTACGTAGATCTTTTAGCCAGGAAATCCTTCGCCATTCTAGTCTACGTTTTCCTTCTACTTTTCTTTGTAGAAATAATTGCAGCAACTCATATCTTTCGTTGTTCCTCATGATGCATGAATCGGGCAAATAAAAGACTGAAGAAGGAAACGATGAAAAATATATATGGTAGAAAATAGGGATATGGGATAATACAACTCCGTTCAACATTAGTGGAAAGTATGGAAAGATTCATGACTCTGGCATGTCATCAAATAACATTCCCTGAGTATTGACTTTAAGTTTCTCAAGATATATTTTTTTAATATACTCCTCTTCTTCTTCTTCTTTAGCCTTAAGTAATCCAACTTTTGACATAGGCCTACCCCAAACCAATCCACTGTTTTCTATTTTGCACCACGTACTTCCAGTTGTGTCCTCCGATCTTAATGTCATCAGTCATCTCATTTGTGTCTTCGTCTGCTTCTCTTTCCTAACCATGGTCTCCATTTTTACTTTGGTTTTGCTTCTAATCCATTTGTTTATTTTTTTGTCTATAACTCTCACCCCGAGCATTGATCCATTTCCATCGCTCTTTGTGTCTTTACTATTTTATCCATATTAGACTTGGTAAGTGTCCACGTCTGTGAACCATACGTGAGTATAGGGAGAATACTTCTTTTTAACGTACCCTATCAAGTCCCCTTGACGTTGGCGATTAACATGGCGAAACTGTCTCTGTCTCGAGCTATTCTAAATAGTTGCTCAGCTTTCTTTATTCCTGTCCACTCCCTGATATTCTTCAACCAAGAGGCCTGCTTTCTACCAATTCCTCTGCGTCCTTCGATTTTACCCATCATAATAAGTTGAAGAATATTATATCGGTCTCCCCTTACTACGTGTCCAAAATAGGCCATCTTTCTACATTTGATGTTATCAAGCAGCTCGCGAGCAGCATTTGCTCTCTCAAGGACTGCCACATTTGTCAGCATAGCCGTCCATGGAATTTTTAGTATACGTCTGTGCAGCCACATTTCAAAGGCCTCCAGACGATTAATGGTGGATATTTTTAATGTCCATGCTTCGACACCGTATAAGAGGACTGACCAAATGTAGCATTTAACCATGCGCTTTCGAAGTTGAAGTTGCAAGTTATCATTACAGAAGAATGACCTCATTTTTAAAAATGTCGTGCGGGCTATCTCGATTCTACATTTTATCTCTTGATCTGGATCTAGTTGTTCAGTAATATGGCAACCAAGATATTTAAAACTGGACACTCTTTGAATTATATGACCATCAACATATAATCGTGCATCTTGATGTGCTAAACGGCTAAACACCATGTGTTTTGTTTTTGAACAGTTTATGTTTAGGCCAAACTCTCTTCCCACTGTATCAATGGCATTTAAAAGGCATTGTAATCCATTCATGTCATCACTTAAAATAACTGTATCGTCTGCATATCTGATTGTATTTATCAGAATTCCATTAACTTTCACGCCCCATTCCAAATTATGCAGCGCTTCTTTAAATATTCTATCTGAATATAAATTAAATAACAGTAGGGATAGTATACAACCCTGTCTGACACCTCTTTGTATTTTACATATTTCTGTTGATTTTCCGTTTATGCAAGCTGTCGCTGTTTGACGCCAGTATAACTTTTCTATGAATCGTATGTCTTGACTATCAAACTCCTTTATCTTTTAATATTGTAATTAATTTGTGATGCTGTACTCGATCAAAGGCCTTTTCATAGTCAATAAATACAGCAAAGACGTCTTTCCTTTGATCTCGACATTTCTGCAGTAATACATTTAGTGCAAAGAGGGCGTCCCGAGTTCCCAGTCCATTTCTGAAGCCAAATTGTGTTTCATCCTGATCTTCTTCACATTTATCTCTGATTCTACTGTGGATGATGCGTAGAAATATTTTCAAAGTGTGGCTCATAAGGCTTATCATTCTATAATCGCTATAGTTTTTCGGACGTTGTTTTTTTGGTAGTGTTATGAATTCGGACTTTAACCAATCTTCAGGGATATCACCAATCGAATAAACATCATTGAAAAGTTTGACCAGTATTCCAATGTTCTCCTCATTTATAAGCTTTAACATCTCTGTCGATATGTTATCAGGGCCAACGGCTTTCTTGTTCTTTGCTAACTTTATAGCAGGGAGAATACACTGATCGTAAATTCTGGTTTTCAAATATTGTTCTATTTTAGTGCTTCTCAAGATCCAACTTAGTTTCCCCAAATCCTGCCCACGCTAACCTTATTCTTCTGGTAGTTTCGGCAGTTTGATATTCTTTGTTAACTTTTATTATCTGTTGCACATAGATGTATTCGATTCCAAAATTTTTTTCAATTCTTCGAGAAAAATAAATTTACTTCTCAGTAGAAGTAATATGGAAATGAAGTAATAAATAATATCTGTTAGAATATCTTTAAATAGGAAATACACACAAGATTTTTCAGGCGTCAGTGCCGAAATATCCACAATACAAAGTGATCCCTTTGAAATCTACACTAAACAATCTACCATAGACATATTTTTGATAAGCTGATAAACTGGTTGACTTTTGTGTAAAAGATTTTATAATACTTGTATCGAATAAAAATATACTTACCGTTGTAAGCAAACATGGGCTTTCTCTGATGGCTCCACAGCATCCAAAGAATGCGATGACGAATATTATTGAGCCTACTACAATGGTCAATATAGGAGCTACGCCTATCGCGCTGTAGTCATCTGGTATTGCGTCAGTAAAATCATTTATGTTTAGTTTATATAATACTCCTACGACGATGAGAGCAAGACCACCGAGCTGAAACAAAAAGTAATACGTTATTGTTATACTTTTACTATGACACATTAACGGCCGGTTTCCGAAACGTTATTCAAATCTCCGATCATCTAATCGAGCTGTTAGATTTGATTAACTGTTAACCAGTGACCAGTTTCTGAAACGTTAATTATCTTAAAATTACATGATCGTAGAAATTATGTGACATACGATTTGGTTTCGATACTGTCACAATCGGCTGTCATCCTTCAAAATATTAATAAACAACCAAAAAATTTTAAGCTGTACCTACCGTTAAAAAAACAACATAATTTAAAAAATTAATATTAAAAATGAGTAATCCTCCACGCAAAAATTATACAGAGAGGGAGAAGTGTTTACTGTTGCATATAATTGAAAAGTAAGTACGAAATTGTCTAACTTATAGAACAAATTTCTAATTGTATCTTTGTTTTCAGATACAAGAAAATCATCGAAAACAAATGTACAAATGCTATGACCACCGCAAAAAAAGTGAAACCTGGGAAAAAATAGCGCTGGAATTTAATGTCAGCGCTTTAATTTGAGAAAGTTTTATTATAAAGAAAAAACTATCTGGTATATCTAAAAAAAATGAAAGTTTTTTTATTTTTATAGTTGCACAAAATAGTCAAGTGAAAGTAGATTATCTACAATTGGAAGACACGGAGCAGACATCCAATGTACCCTCTACTTCCACTGTGCTGCTCAGTACACCCTCGACATCTGCTGTCCTGCCCAAGAAAAAATCTAAAATGTCTAAGGCTTGTTTTAAAAATAAAAAATTAAAAAATGTAGGGAGCGAAACCAATAGACGTATTTATTATAAAAAAAAATTGAGTGTACAAATATAGAAAAAAGAAGCAAACTGGTATTTTTAAATAATGAAATCAGACAAAAAGAAATTTTAGAATTGGAACTTCAAATAAAAAAATTTGAAATGAATAAATAGCAGCTTCAACGTCTACCATATCATCAATGTTGTCATTGTGATCGATAGCTATATTGTGCAATACAGCACAGGCCACAACAATGTTCATGGCTGTATCTAGTTTTACCCTTAGTCCCATAGATAGGCAGGGAAAACGTCTCTTTAATACCCCGAAACATCTCTCTATGGGATTTCTTGTTGATACTTGTGCTTTATTGTAAGCTTCCTCACCATTTGTTCTAGGCTGCAAAAATGGAGTCAAAAGGTAACTTCTACAAGGGTATCCACTATCTCCCAAGAGAAAATCTTTCCCATATATATCACTCTCGAAATCGGCACGTATGTGGCTATCATTGAAAATAGTTGTGTCGTGCACAGAACCAGGCCATCTACAAATGATATCTTGAATCCTTAGCTGTGAATCACATATAGCTTGAGTATTCAAAGAGAAGTATCCTTTTCTATTCCTGAACAGTTCTGCTTGTGGGCCTCCAACTTATTGAATTTTGACGTGGGTACAATCAACAGCACCTATTACGTTTGGAAAATTAGCCAACGCATAAAACCCAGATTTAACACTCAGGCGCTCCTCTGCTGTTGCTGGCATCTTTATAAAAACTGGCCTTAACCTAGCTATCGCTAGAGATATTCTCTTGATGATTCGACATTCTGTTGATTTGTGCACTCTCACACTATCAGCCACAGTCACTTGGAATCCTCCAGTAGCATAAAAGCTGATTGTCAGTAAAATCTGCTCAATGGCACTAATAGATTTGTTTCGTTTGGTTGTTGGTTCCATACCATCTATTAGTCCCACTATTCTGTCACAACTTCCTTGGATACTCTGTAGCGTTGTTTAAATTCACTATCACTGTAGTGTGTCATTGGATTCATCCTGGTTCTGTGATTAACCCAGGGGATGTCATTTTCCTCCTCGCTCGACAATGAAAGGTCAGAAATATCAGAGATGTATATTTAATTTTAAAAATCTAAATTATAATTAAATAACTAATAATTATAATTAAAAACTAAAAAACTCTTTATTTAATAACTATTTAACCTATATAATAACTATACAAACTCTATTTAATAACTAAAAACTCTATTTAATGACTAAAAACAACTCTTTATAAATATTAACAGCCCTTTAATCATCCAATAACTTCAAATTAGGTGACAGTCGATTTTGACAGTCGTTTGACATGCGAAACTAGTTAATCGGCGTTTCAGAACTCAAAACACATATGATCAACTGTTAACTAACGATTAATCGTTTGTTTTGTTAAATTAGGTGATCGACTGTTGTTGAATGTAGTTTGATTGACGTTTCTGAAACTCAAAATGCGTTTGATCAACGATTAACCATCGATTACATAATTTTTGAGATGATCATCCTTTCGGAAACCGGCTGTAAATGAGGCAAGCAATTGCAATAGCAACCCTGTTTCTGTTTAGCTGTTTTCGTTAATTATTATTCGAAACCTAACCTGTTCATTTTTTAGGGTTTTGAAACATGAGAGCTTTTTTATAAACTACTTTTAAATTTACATTGATCTGACCTTTTATTTTTAACTTAGAAATCTCCTATCTTGGATTACGCAATTTACAGATTTCAGTCCTCTACAAATAGTTTCTTATGACTAGACTTCGGCAAATATGCATATTGCATATTTTGCATATTGTGCATATTTTATGCAAATATTTCATATTTTGGCATATTTGTATAAAAGTTTGCATAAAGTGCATAAAAGTTCAGATTTTTATACTGTATTTGAAAATTTTTAAACATACCAATTTATTTCAATTCTTGTATAAAATTTTGTAGTCATTTTAATCAAGAAATGATCTAAGTACGTAATCTCTACAGGTACAAAACATTTACAATTTCAAAGAAGATCAATTTAAGTAGCCCTCAACATTCTTAGAAAGTCTCGGTCACTGAGGCATTCAGTTATTGGATAATCGCTAAGGGTTCGCTCATTTGCATTTTATGATCTAATCCCCAAATCTATCTACAATTTATTGTATCTTAACAGCAGGTAAACGGCTAATAGTTTTGTTCCTAATTTAGGGATTTTCCAAAATCTCCCAGTTTATTGAATTAGGTACCTAAACATTTCTAATTTGATGCTCAGATTTGTAAATCATTTTTGTTTTGATATTCAAAGCGTAAACACTCGTTGTGCGTAACAAAAAGGAAGATTGTGATTTTATAATGCCTAAAACAACCAGTGCTTCAACTTGGATTAAACCTTATAAAGAGCTGTCTATGGATATGGGAAAAATCTACTGTTCAGTCTGTGGCAAAATTGTAAGTATCTAATATTTTCTATTAAATATCTAATATTTCATACATACAGGGTGTTTCCAAATGACACTTACAACGTTTGACTGTAGATACTTCTCGAAAAATTGAACAAAACGATATAGTTAATGAGGGGTCAAACTTATTTACTTTTCGAGATACAGGGTGTTAAAATTAAAAAAAATTAAATTCTTTTAGTTAATAACAACAATAACTTTAAAACCAATAAACGTATTTACTTGAAATTTAGTACTCGTAGGTTGTTTTTAAATGAAAAATAGCTTCCTTTAGTGAGAAAAAATTGTCCATGGTACAATACAATGGTGTGTATTTAGAAAAATTTTTCACCTTTACTTTTTTTTATGAAGTCAGCTATTCTAAAACACAATTATTTTTATTGTAATTGAATTAACAAAAAAAAACTTTGTTGAATTTTAAAATAAGTTATATGATGTACTAATGGTTAGTAACAAAAACTAATTTGTGGATTAATACTGCATTTAAAACACTTAGCGAGTGTTTTTTTTTCCAAACCAGTTATTTGATTAACCAAAAACACCTTGTATATTTTTATATTTTAAAGGTTGGGTTAAAATAAAGGTTTTTATTTTTATTTATAGATAGCATGTGAGAAGAAATTTCAGATAGACCAACATGTGAGAACTGCTTCACACATTGCAAAAAAAGGAAAAATAGGAGGAAAACATCAAACTTCAATGGCTAAATGTTTCCAATCTACTTCAAAAAAATTAGATGAGCAAGAAACTTTTAATGAAGACTTGTGTCGCGCATTAGTGTCTGCAAACATACCGCTTTCAAAATTAGCAAATGTAAATTTTAGTTCGTTTCTAAAAAAATATTGCAAACTTAATGTTCCAAGTGATCGGTCTCTAAGAAGAAATAATGTGAACGGGCTATACTCGTCGGTGTTAATTAATATTAAGGAAGAAATTGCAGATAATTATTTTTACATATCTGTAGACGAAACCACTGATTCCTCAGGAAAGTATATTGCTCATTTATTGATTGGTGTTCTTAAAGAAGATACCTTACCAAAATCTCATCTTATTTCATGCCAGCAACTTGAGAAAACAAATGCTTTAACAATTTCGCGTTTTATACAAGAAACATTAGCAACTTTTTTTCTTCCGACAACTATTCCTTCTAATAAATTACTGCTTATTTTATCGGATGCTGCTCCTTATATGGTGAAAGCAGGACAAAATTTAAAAATATTTTTCCCAGATTTAATACATGTTACTTGTGTAGCGCATGGATTAAACAGAGTTGCAGAGGAAATACGAAAAAAGTTTCCTCTTGTAAATACCATGATATCCAGTGTCAAAAAAGTATTTCTTAAATCTCCTATAAGAATTCAACTTTATAAAGAAATGCTACCTAACATTCCTCTTCCACCACAACCTATTTTAACGCGATGGGGAACATGGTTAGAAGCAGCTAATTTTTATGCAGATCATTTTGTTAAAATAAAGAACATAATTGATACGTTAACAGATGAAAGTTCCCAATCTCTTTTGGATTCTAAACAAACTTTTCAGAGTAACTTGCTTCAACAAGAACTTTCATTTATAAAATCAAATTTTAGTTTTGTTCAAAAAACAATTACTCAGTTAGAATCACCAAAACTGTCATTGTTCGAAAGTACAGCATTAATAAAAGAATTTGCGTCATGTTGTCGGAACGTTAGAGGTAATATTGGAAAAGATATTTTAAAAAAATTTGAAGCTACTATGGAAAAAAATAAAG